ATAAGTCACACTGGAGGACCTAGTATCCTAGAGTGGTGTTCTATCAGGTAAACAAAAATAATGTCTTTTATTCACACTTTTTCCAGTTTCATTGGGGTCCTGAGCTTTTAACCCTAATGAATGTGGAAGGATGACAGTATATGGAAATAGATCAACGGCCTCTGAGACACACATCAACAGGGACCATCTGCACTGCAGACGAAACCTGGGCAAACTATTACTGTATTTCCAATAAGCTACTAATTGTGTTTAAATCTGCCTATCCATTAACATGTGGAAATTTTATGCAGACATGAATTTTTATAATGATGTACTAAGGCACTCTAGCTAATCGTGCCTGAAGGTATTTTCAAGTGCGAGGCTAATTGTGTCCACAGAATCATCGAATTATAGAGTTGGAAGAGACTGCATGGGCCATCTAGTCCAACCCCACAATGCAGGAAAACACAATCAAAGCACCCTCAACAGATGGCCATCCAGCCTGTTTAAAAGCCTCCACAGAAGGAGCTTCCACCACACTCCAAGGCAGAGAGTTCCACTGAACAGCTCTTATGGTCAGTAAGTTCTTCCTAATGTTCAACTGGATTCTCTTTTCCTGTAACTTGAACTTACAGCTCCAAGTCCTAGTCTCCAGGAAGCAAATAAATAAATAAATAAATAAATAAAAAGGCTCCCTTATAACAGTCTTTCAAATATTTAAACATGGTGATCCTGTCTCCTCTCAACCTTCTCTTCTGCAGGCTAAACATACCCAGCTCTTTAAGGCGCTCCTCATAGGGTATGGTCTCCAGACCTGTGAACACTTCAGTTGCCCTCCTCTGGACACCATCCAGCTTGTCTTTTAAACTGTGGTGGCCAGAATTAGACACAGTATTCCAGGTGAGGTCTGACCACAGCAGAATAGAGGTCCTCCGGATGTTTTGAACTTCAGCTCCTATAATTTCTAACAGCTGGTAAGCTAGCTGGGATTTCTAGGAGTTGAAGTCCAAAACACCCGGAGTGCCAAAGGCCGAGAACCACAGATAGACACTATACTGTTTTAATACAGCCCAAAATTGTTGGTTCATGTTTAATATGACACATGGGGCTATACTGATCCAGCAATTTCTAGCTTTTACATTCATGTGCAGGGTGATTTTAAACCTCACAAGGGAACTACTGTACTCCAGCTCTTGGTGCCAGTTTTGCACTATTGCACATATACTGAACATCCTTCTATCATTTAACCATCAAAGACCAGTGACCAAAAATTAGACCTGAAGAAATAAGGACAACCTGACCTAGTTGGTTCTTATAAATATACAGATTGTTGTCCTTTTTTTGAACACAATTATTCTACGTTTAGACATGTGGTAAGCACCACCAAGTGGCTAGAGTAGTTAAGGCATGATTATTTTGGGAGATAAGGTAAGAGTCCACTGCACACTAATTGAAAACACATTCCAAACTGAAATCAACTGTTATGGCTAATTTAGAGTAATCCAAATTTCAGCAGACTGGATCAGAGATGCCCAACATCAAAATTGTACACTGGATGATAATTTTCACCTACCTACCTAGAGTGATAGCAACAAAACCTTCCATCTTTACAGGTACTACATTATTATTGGACATGGCTGTTAAACTAGAAATAAGAAATGCTTTGATAAGCAGAACATATTGAGTCGCTGTGAGTTTCCCGGGCTCCAGAAGGAACATGGCCATATAGCCTGGAAAACTCACAGCAACCCAATGATCCCGCCATGAAAGCCTTCGACAAAACATAGAACATACTAACATTTAAATAGTATCTATATGTGCATTATTACTTGTGTCTGTCTCACCTTCTATTAGACACCTTTCCCAGAAGCGTGTCAGCTATGGCTGATGTAACTTGTAGACAAAATGTGTTATTTGTTGGAATGTATGAAGTTAATATAATTTTGTTAACTGATTAAATAATATTCCTATCAGGAAGTGCCAAAGGACAAATCAGTGGAAGATAAAAGAGTACATATTTCTGTTCTTAGGCTCTTAAGATCAACATCCAAGAAAATATTTTGAATCGGAGAGAATCTGAAGTTTGTTAAGCTAGTTACTTCATAAGCCTGAGCTACCTGTTAGTGTGTAGAATTCGAACAACAGTTGCTGTTCTTGTAATATTTTATTCTAGATACTCCCAGTTAAGGTAGGGAAAATTGCTAGGACCATAGCCATTTACTAGCCTTTTTATTAGCACAATGGTTTGGGCTCTGACAGCTACATGAGGCAACTGCAAGGTAATTCCAAAGGACTTAAAGGCAGTTTCAGTGTCGCCTCATGAAATCAGGAACTTCAAATGGTAGGATCAAGAGGGCAAGTCTAAAACATGGTTTTATGTCAGGAACATTTCTGCAGGCATCCATTATAGCTACTATAATTTGCAACTTTTTGATCATATGGTTGGAAGATTTTATAACTTAATATAAAAGGATTATTGGATGATTTCACAATGTAATAATAAAAAGACTGAAATGTGTTATTGCAGTGTATTATTGGGATTTTGGTTTCTAATATATGATTTCTATATATTCTACAAACTATTAAAGATACTACTGTATATTCCTTTTCATAGCCATCAATTTGATGATTTCGAAAATGTGCTAGGCTCTTCCTATGTCACAGATCAGTAGAGGAATGGATTTTTCCTCTCCTAGATAAAATTTCAAAAACACAGTGTGCAGGTCAAATACTAATATAATACTACAAAAATACAATATTTTGTTTTTAAAAAATCACTGCAGATATCCGAAGGATAGTAGCACCTATGAGGAAAAAATAGGGTTATCCATCAGTGATAAATGTTAGGAAGACAAATGGAAAGGTCTGAGAGCAAACCATGTCTATACTCTCACTAAAGGCAGAATAACTAATTTGAGGCTATTGGATTGTGGATATATCATGAGATGACATGATTCACTGGAAAAGATAACACCCGGTTAAGCTGAATGTAGTAAGAAAAGCAGCAGATGGAATGATTCAATCGAGGAAACTAGAGCACTGAGCTTGAAAGACATAATCAAGGCGACTGATGACCATCGATCGTACCTGGAGGTCTCTCATTTTTACTATACACTAAAAGCACCAAAATCTTGAAAATTACAAAGGCTCAGCTCTGGTTAAAAACTTAGAAGGGAGGCTACCAAGAAATACCAGGTAGTGCAGGCCACATTTCAGCAACTGGCAAAACAACCTCTTGATTGTTCTTGCCTAAGAATTCAAGACTTCATGGGGGCGCCATAAGATGACAGGCACACAAGCGGAGGCCCCCTTGAGAGCAAATAAGAAAAACTCACATCTTTACTTAATCCTGTGACAACATATAAAACACCATCAACTTTCTAATGCAGTGTTCAGGCACAACATCAGCGCAGAAGTTACAATCTCGCTGTGACTTGGGTAGATGAAGCATGCAATGTTTCTTTTTGTGGACAATGTCTCACATCTTGCTGGAAGAAACTTTTGCCCACAAATGGGAAGTAAAATTTCACAGGCAGGTGTCAATGGCAATGCATAGTAATTTCAAAGCAAGTGTGCCAACCTCAATGTAGAACACACACGTTTCTTTCATCGCGCTAATAATCGCAAAGTGAAAATTGGGCCGAATACAAGAAGACAGAAAGAATCCAGGAATCAGCCCTGCCCTTAAGCATCAACTGTTTTATGTGGTTCCAACACCTTTGATACAGCAGTTAGGTCTCCCAAAAAACCCATGGAGGAGGGGAGAGAGAAAGAGAGATTATTAATTTATGTTTCTTATTCACATGTGTGGGTGTGTCATGACAAAGGCCTTTTTGCCAGGGGTGATGTATGCACTGCATCCTTTTCAACTGTTAGAACTATAAAGCCTAAAGAAACAATTTAAATAAAAGATGATAAAAATATAGATTAAGAGATCACTCACATCCATAATATGGTAACATCTATTAACACTGCAATTTGCAAAAGGAACATAATTTGTAGCAAGACTATGCTTCAAATTGTGTAGAAACACAATGGACAGATTTTGGTCAAATTTGGGGGCGTCCATATCAAAGTAAGGCTGCTTTAGTAATTTGGATTTTAAAAGACAGCATATTCCCACAATCAATATCTTTCTCTTCAGGTTAGAAAAACACTGAAGGAGTGGAGAAAGGAGAGGAAGAAGAGGATGGGCCAGTTTTAGCTGGCAGCTCTTACCTTCTAAATCAGGCATGGGCAAACTTCAGCCTTCCAGGTGTTTTCGACTTCCCACAATTATGGGAGTTGAAGTCCAAAACACCTGGAGGGCCTAAATTTGTCCATGCCTATTCTAAATACACTGAATGGCTTTATTGGATCTCACCAATCTCATTGCTTGGGAGAAGTATTGAAGTAGTACAGTGATGGACTAATCCAGTGTTTATTTGTCAATTTAATCAATGGTCCTGGAGGCTTCAAGGACAACTAATTCACCCTATTTACCAGAAAAGGGCAGTTTGGGAAAATCTCTCTCTGTGTGTTTGGATGTTTGTGTAATGGTCACAAAAACAGCCATGGGATTCAAATTCATCTGTGCTTTGCACTCTTCTGATGCAGACAATGCTATATGTCACATGGCATTGTGGTGAAGGCATGCACACATTCAAATTCTCCTAGAAAGCATGTGAATGGTAATTGAGCACATATAGAAATATGTACCCGCATTTACAGCCACCCTTAGGAAGACCTGGCAAACAGAGATTACAGAAAGACAGAATATATAACCTGATGATAAAGATGCAAACAATATGTATATGTCACAATTATAGTACAAACAGTTAAAACTGCTCCACTGGTATTTACAGTATCTCCTGGCAAATGCCAGATGAGTCAGAGCTGATGACATTTCCTCTGCAGCAATTCACTCCCATTAGTTCATTCATTTTCTATACTTCTTTTCACTGGCATTTAAACTCTGTGAACTGTAAGCATTTCTTGTTACATTAGGATGCTCAAAAAAAAGGCTGATATAAATCCTCTACTTTTAAGGAAAATATGCATTTATTTTCATTAAGAGAATGTGTCCATTATAAAACAACATATTTTAAATACATGAACACTGTATAAGAGTAGGATAGCTGTCATATCAATTTTTAATAACCATTAAGCAATACACTCATACATTAGAATATTGCTGACATGTTTTGTTCTTCAAGTTATACTCGATCTTTTAATAAGCTCTTCTATGTGAAGAGATCAGCGACAGCTGTGGATGGCATACTGGACAAATACTAATACCTATTCAATCCAAACATTCCAGGCCATACTCAAAGCTACATCTCTTCCCCAAAACTTCCTAAACAGGAAATAATCTAAGTGCGATACTGACACTGCTCCAATGGCACTCCTCTCACGGAAAACCACTCTCACGGAGTAAGATCTTCGTACAGCCTGCTTCCATGCCTGGATTCAGTTTTCCCTGTGGATCAGTTAGGGCATGCAAGCTATTTTCACTGGAAGGCATGCTACGGTAGTAATATCTGGATTGGCCAATTGTCTCTCACTTAATCTTACAGATCTACACATGGTATAAGTTGAACAAAGGCTGTCAAATGATGTTCAATGTGGAAATATATCATGTGAACTGTCATAATAAAACATTCTATTGACGGACTCCTTCATTGTTATCTATTTACATCTGAAAGTCTGATTCAAGTGTAAATACTATAAGAATAACTGACTTCTTACAAGAGCCATCCATCATATTTCTTGTAATATAAGCTTGTAACTTGGCACTCCAAAGTAGTACCAAATGGGTAGCCATATTGCATTATAAAAGATGGTTGGGAGCTGCTCTGCAACCTGGAAATGAAATACAAGGAAGGTTCTTTAATGCCCAGTTCCTTCAGTTAACAAGAACAGAGCACTATTTTTCATTCCTATGGTACAAATACACAGGTATTTTAAACAGTTGTCATCAAGACCAATTCCACAGCTCCAGAAAGAGAATCCAATAATAGATGCTAAGAACCACCAATTCCTGCCAATTCAGAAGTATTAATGCTGGATTTTGTTCACTAAGTTTTCTTTCACAGGAAAGACAAGACACCCTTTCATTTTAGAACAACTTCTGCCAATTTGGAACTGAAAAATAACCTGGTAGTGATTGCTCTTTTGCAACATCAATAGACATGTTGTTTCCAGCATCTGTCTCGGGCAGGGAGACAGGTTTGAGGAAGTCAATACTTATAGGAATATTATTCCGATAACATCAAACCTGATGGGGATGTAATAAGTTCGATTTGTGTTTCATGAGGTGTTTGATGTTATTCATAAGCAGCTGCCAAAGGAGTTACTCATTTAGGGAAGAAGAATGCGTTATCCTGAGGAAAAATACTGATTACATTGACCACATCATCACTGATTTACTCCTGTTTCAAAGAGTAAATCTCTTGCTCATAAAGCAATCTCGTCCAAAAGTTTAATTAGGTTTCTATTGAATTTCAAGATGAAGCTGTTTTGTAGTGTTTAGGAGGCAAGAAGTTCCTCTTACGTTAAAGAAGAAAGGTCTTCTTACAGGGCAGTTTTGCATTTCCAAAAATCTGATTCCCATTGTGCTTAAAAACAATTTTATGCTTTTGAGCACTTTTAAATAGATAGCCCTTCTCAATCTCACTACAAAAATATTCACACTATAAGTGAAAAGATGAATATAATGTAAAGTTCCCTGGTTTCCGCCAGGAAAGTCTTCTGCTAAACTAAATTCAGTTGTATTCCAGACACAGATATGTCTTAGCGGGAGAGACATTTCTTTTTCATAGAGAAAAAGATGGGAATGCATATAGGGGAACAGGATAATGAAACCTAGTCAATATTTTGCAAGACTTGCCTTTTGATACCACCACATTTTACATTTGTCTAGCTGTATGAAAAAATTCAACACTTCGATTGTCAAACATTTCAGGGTTCACGTTCCTGTTTAAAGCCCAAGTGACTTCTGGACAATCTGCTTGGCTATTTTGTTGAATTGCTCTCTGTCTTCCCGCCACATTTTAGAGGCATCCACATTGGCTCCACTCTCATCATTTGGTTCTGAAATAGGAAATACAGAAAAGTTAAAACATTATTTAAAAGTGGGACATTAATGGATTTGCCTATGTAGAGAGGAGCACAAGAATTACAAGCACTCACAGTAGAAGATACAGTTGGAAAGAAATCCAGTGTCCACTTCATACTACGTACTGCTCTAGAAATAAAAGACTTAGATCCACAGGAGTAATTTAGGATTCAGAATATTATTGGGCAGATTTTATTATGACTCAGATTGCACAGTCCATCATTACAAACATGAGCATCTTTTGAAATTTGATTTTACAAGTCCTCTATGTATTTCCATATCTTACATAAATGAATGGAGAAAATTTGAAACTTTGCATCACAATGTGCAATAAATCGTACTGTAACTTGTACTTTCTTTCTAACTGGGAAAAATAAAGTACTCTTTAAACTGTAATCTCTCCAAGGGAACCAATATAATGTAGTAGTTTAAATATTGGAGCCCCCATAACCCGTGGCGCAACGGGTTAAACCCTTGTGATGGCAGGACTGTTGATTGAAAGACTGGCGATTTGAATCCAAGGAGCAGAGTGAGCTATCTGTCAGCTCCAGCTTCTCACGCAGGTACATGAGAGAAGCCTCCCACAGGATGTAAAACATCCAGGCATCCCTTGGGCAATGTCCTTGCAGACAGCTAATTCTCTCACACCAGAAACAACTTGCATTGGTTGGACTATGACTAGAGACCAGGGTTTGAATTCCAGTAAGTTATAGAAACCCACTGAGTGACTTTGGCCAATTCACACTCTCTCAGCTTCAGAGGAAGGCAAAGGTAAACCCAATTTGAACAAATCTTCCCAAGAACATCCCATGACCCTTAGGATCACTGCAAAGTCAGAAATCCCTTGAAGGCACAAAACAACAAATCTATCCCTTTTGTACTAAATGAAGGTGGGAAAAGAAGGCATCAAAATATGCAATTTTGTAATTACATAGTAATGTAATCAAAGATTATTGATAGAGATTATTGATAGAAACCATAAAGAACTATCCATATTAGAATCATAAACAATTCCAGCAAACCTACTGGTCAAGTTAGTTCACTAAATGAACAATTGTATCCTCATGTCAATTGCACCTTTAGGTTTTAATTTTACATTGGTGTTTGGATTTTGTTAATTAATTTTTACTAAAAAGTCAGATTAGTGGAAACATTAGTAAAAATAAAATGAAATAGGTAAATTTTGTACTTCTTCCACATTTATCTGAAATACAGTGGCTTTTAATGGTAATAATTTAAATGATTATTTCAATGCCAGATTGACTGATATCACCATCATGCAGCTCATCAGACCTGCTCTGCACACAGAAGAGATTTTTCAGCCTTTCAGATAATAAAATACAGGTGTATTTGGGGTGATTTCCATTTTTAATTCTTATGGCATTGCACAGTCACAATGCATCTGAGAGTAATGTGTCTTTTGCTTCCAAAGAGCAGCACCAGCAAAACCCAGATTGGACTCAGAAAAAGCTGGACAAGTCTTGAAATTGCCCTTGTTCTAACTGCCTTGCTTAGTGTCTGAAGATTAAATGCTGCTCCATACCCGCCAGCATGCTGACAACAGACAAGAGGATCTTCTCTACACTTTGTACAGGGCTCCATCGTTCTGCGCTGCTCTCATAGCCCATAGGATCATCCCCAGGAGCATGAAGAATAGAAATGCATACTCTCCCATCTGGGTAAACTGAAAAAAAGAACATAAATGTTTTCCTATGTCAAATGTTTTTTTAAAAAAATGTAGAAAGGGAGCATGTTAATTATGCCTAGTATTAATAGCCAAAGAACAGAAATATATTGCACTTGAAAATAAAGAATGCTCACAATGCGTTTAATGCAAAGACTAAGAAAACCTCTAAACAGGAGGAAAAAAATATGTTGTCTTTATGGCCCTGATGCATCTTAGACAATCTCTAAGGAAATAGTCTATGGGAAGCTTCAACACTGTTTAACCTTTATTTATTTACTGTATTTGTATACCGCCCCTCTCAGCCTTCTGGCAACTCGGGGCGGTTTACAAGGCAAAATTCAATGTCATAGAAACAATAGTACAATATAAAAACATTAACATCAATAAAATCGTAACAGTAACAATAAAACATAAATCAATAAATTCTCATTAAAAACATTGTCCAGTCTCATCGTGTAGTTGTTCAGATTAGTGGAAACTTTAGTAAAAATTAAATGAAATAGGTAAATTGTGCACTTCCTCCACATTTATCTGAAATACAGTGGCTTTTAACGGTAATAATTTAAATGATTATTTCAATAATTTATTTAATAATGTATAATAATTTATTTCCTATGTCCATTACTCAATATTTGCAAATGCTTGCTCGAATAGCCATGTCTTGAGTTTTTTCCGAAATGTTATGAGCGAAGAAGCCGATCTGATCTCCCTTGGGAGAATGTTACATAGCCGAGGGGCCACCACTGAGAAGGCTCTGTCCCTCGTCCCCACCAGACGTACTCGTGACGAAGGCAGGGCCTCTCCAGACGATCTTAAAGTCCTCGATGGTTCATAAGAGGAGATGCATTTGGACAGGTAAGTTGGACCAGAACTGTTTAGGGCTTAACACTTCAAAACTTTTTTTTTCAAAATCGGAAGTAGAATGCTGAGCATTACTGAGTTTGTTTACTGGCAGCCCATGCGGCCTTTGGAAGATCCTCTGACATATAATTTTCCTCTCAGATCTGCTGCAGGTGCCCAGTCCTGCTATAAAGACATTCATATATCTATTTCATATGAGTTGGAGAAAATCAACACATCAGCTTCCAAGAAATGTATATACTTGCTTTTTTAAAAACATTTCTCACATATATTCTATCTAAATATTATTAGTCATTTGGCCATTTGTTGTTGCTAAGAATGTTTTAGAGATCTTTTTGTCCTGGAAAACAGATGGTTAATTGTATATCTGCCATACAATATAAAATACAATGAACTGGAGAGTATGTCAGTCTGTTACAAGAGAAACAAGAGTACCCACAATGCACACATTATTCTATACAAGTAGTTGGACTGTTCATTGGCATATAAATTATCATATTTTCTGGAAATCTTCCACAAGAATATCGTATATACTCAAGTATAAGCAGAGTTTTTCAGCCCTTTTTTAGGCTGAGAAAGCTTCCTTCATCTTATACTCAAGTCAAAGTTATTTATTATTTTATTCCATCATTATTGTTATTATTATTACATTTATTATTTTACTGTATTGTTATTACATTTATTATTTTAATCTATTATTACTGTTATTATTACATTTCCATTATTTTACTCTATTATTATTTCCTTTTAATAGCTTTGATGAAGATGGGTCACATCATAAATAGAAACTATTAACATTATTCTATCCTAACAGCTGAAGGAAAACTTTGGCTCTCAATTTTTAATTTCTTTCTGTCCAGCTATGCTTTACCAAAAATACAGAATATTTGAGGGGGGTTAAAAGCTGACAGGCAGATATTCAGATTTTCCCTTCAGCTGTGCAGGTCTACAACATGTTAAAAGGGGAAAAACTCACACTTTTTTTTTTTTAAAAAGGAAGATTAAGAATCTGGGAATTAGTTTGCCTTTTAAGATGGAAATTATGCATTTTCAGAGTAAAGATAAAATAGAACTAGAAATAGAAATGGAAACTTAAATTAACTGTTGCTAAATCTGTCAGTCTTAATATTAAACACAAAAGATCTTCATAAGCAGTCTCATTTCTACAGTAAGATCTTAATGAAGTATCTGTGGACGCTGTCAGGCAAGCTTATACACTCCAACTCTCCATGATCTCTTATTATATAGAGCAGTCATTCTCACATTTTGGATCAGATATTTTGAATTTAAGTTCCCAGAATCTCTGACCACTGGCCAATCTGGCTGCAGTCTCTGAAATATGAAGTCCAAATATCTGGATGACCAATTTGAGAACCACTATTTTATGCCATGCAATGCCAAGACACATAGCACATGGGAAGCAAGGATTGGCCAAGTTTTCTTTGATTTTAAGAGGAGCAAAGGCAAACCCATACAGAATCTACCAACTGTAAATGCTATTATTTTTTAATTTAAGTTATAACATTTACAATTTTATTTCAATGTTTGTAAAGTAGCATAAGCAGTTAATAAGACAATCCATATATGTTTAAAATTAGAAACATAGAATTAGAAATTAGCAAATTAGGGACATACTCGCACATGGAAAGTGGGTCAAAGCAGTTGTGACAAGCAGCCACATACACTGTAACTTTATGAATGTGTCTGCACTATTCACAGAGATTGGCTCTTTGACACATGAAAAGAAATGTACAACATATGCAACCCACTCCACTCCCATCTTACTGTACTTCAAAATAATTGAGGAATATCTGAAATGGTGCTTTTGGGATAAACCCTGTAGAAACATGTGCCTTAAAAGAAAATGCCATGTTTGCTGCAGCAAAATCTACAATCAGTGGCACTCTGAAGATTAACCATTATTTTGGCACAATCTTTCATAGGCTTCCCATCAAATCTACATTTGATGACCCTTGTGGAAGAGGCACAAGGGTCTCTAGTGCAATCTCCTATGGCTGATTGTAATCACTGACAAAGCTCAGAATCAGGAGGAGGGTGGTTCCTGTGTGGAAGAATCACTTCTACCTTCCAGGTCACACTGCCCAATGTGTAAAACTTTGTTAAAAGTGCGAAGAGATAACTAAACAAATCAAGTGACATCTCCATTAAGTACTGTTTTGTTTTGTTTTTTTTAAAAAACCTACATTAAAATATAAGTCAAAACAATAGGTTCTTTAATATGTTGTTGTCTGGTCTAAAAAATGAATGACAATACGAATAACGATTTGATGGGGCTTTTTACTTATGTAGAAAAGGTAATGCCATGATCTACTGTTGAAACTTACTATTGGGATGAAACATCTCACATGTGAACCTCATCTTTGGAGGACTTAAAGGATAATCAAGAGGAAAGCTCAAAATAGCAGGAAAAACACCATATTCAAAGCAAGTGTCTTCTGGCCCCCTAAAAAAAAGCAAAAAAGAGTATTAAATGTATATAACAGGAGGCATTCCGCACTGCTTTATAACCAGCTCAAAAATACTAATTCTAAGAATGAAAGCATGAAATGTATGTTTGATTACAATAGGCTACTGTCAAAATATGCAGCATTACAAAGGAGTCTCTCTGTGTGTGTGTCCTTTCAAGTTGCTTGTAACTTTATGGGAACTCCATGAATCACAGAGAGTCATATTGTATGGATCTTTTAATTAACGACTATTGCCATGTTTTATTGATTCTATTGCTCTTGTTAATTTTATGTTTGGGTTTAAATGTGTTAATAGTTTTAATGTTGTTATACTGTTCTTTATATGTTGTATGGCACCAAAAATACCCACAGTATCAGCAATATGCATTTGGATGAGCAGAACTTCCAGGCCTTGGCAGCCAGACTTTTGAATCAATGTACAATATAAGGTTCACACAATCAATTTGTTGGACAGAAATCTTAAATATAAAGAGTTAACTTGTTCTTATCCATTTTCACTAACCTAAAACAAAAGCTGAAGGCGAGAGAAATCAAAGCATGCACATTAAATTACTAGGAAGGTCACAACACACTGCTTAATTACCAGGGTGTGTTTATTCAATTATACTCAAATCTGTCTCCAAGGCATGTTCCAGATTTTACTGCTTGCACGTCAAGATATTGCCGGCAGGTGCTGATCCTGCCGCTTTGAAGATGCTGCTATGCTGCATGGACAAAGGCTGCAGAGGCTGCTATTTAAAAGACACTGTATAACTAAGGCTCACGAGAAACTCCCCTAATGGCCCTAAAAAGGTGTACATGTTACAATTTAATACAACTCAAGTAATCAAAGCAACTTCAGGGTATATAATTAGGTGCACGGGCTGTCTAAGCTTAAGGCTCTTGAAATGAAGAACACCCAAGAGGAGCTGTACCAGAACACACCCAAATACTACTGGCCATCTATCTGGAAAGCAAAATGACTGAATATGAAATCTTCCACATGTGCATCCATGAGTTGCTTTCTTTAAAGACTGCTAAAATTTTCTCTCTGTGCACAACTGATAGGAACAAAAACTAAAGGATTTAATTTCACAACTGTAGTAACCGGAAGAGGGAAATAGCGGAATGAAGAATTTAGGATTTCTTTGTGACTGCATTCCTTCTGTCATATATTCAATCTTTCTCTCTTTCCCCAGACTCATTTCCTTAAGCCTAGCACATTTGTTCCTTTTCTGAAAATTAGGAAATACCATTTCAATCACTTTTCATGTAACATACTTCTGAAATCCACTTTTCCCACATACATTTATATCTGTTGCATTAATATAAAATTCATTCATATAGCTCAGGAAGTAGAATGAAATCTGTGTAAGCTCATACTAAAATAGATCAATTAGTCTTAAAGATGCTACTAGATTCCTTCATCCCCCCACTCTTTATTTTAATGCTGCAGCAGATGAACACAAGTGTCACTTTGAAAATGTCTCTACATTGTCCTAGATCAGGCCTGCACATGTCAGGAGAAAGGAACCAAAATTAGATAGGATAAGTCTCTTGGGGCCACAAATAGGCTTTTAGCACCCCACTTCCCTGATAAGGTATAATTAATGATTAATTAGGTTTTTGTTGTTGTGTGCCTTCAAGTCATTTCAGATTTAGGACAAACCTCTGACAGTGTTTTCTTGTCAAGATTTATTCAAAAGGGGATTTCCCTTTGTCTTCCTCTGAGGCTGAGAGGGTGTGTTTAAAATCACTCAGGGGATTCAGCGCCATAGTTCGAGGTAAAAATCACTACGCTTTCGAAATTCCTTCTCCCTCCTTTTCCTACTTACCTTTCTTTTTCATTTCCCCCCTTTCTCCTTCCTCCCCTGCCCCTTTTCTCCTTTCCCTTTTCTCTCTCCTTTCTTCCCACCCCCTTCCCTTCCTTTTTTCTCCCTTTCTCCTATGAGCCCTCCAGATCCCCAACATGGATAAGAAATGGCAGAAGGTAATAGTCAGAAATTTCCAATCTGCTTGACGTTTCAAAAACACTTTTTAAAGAGCATACTAATAATAGGTACCTTGGGTTCCATTTCTGGGAGAAAGAAGAATGCCATTAAAAACACAAAAGTGATTCACTTAGTCTTGAGTGAGCGTCCCCTATTCTACAAACTTTTACAAAGCTAATTGCACATAAATTGTAATGGGGATTACAAGAGTTAGATTGATGAACATGAATCAAACAGAAGCCACCTTGTCTAGATTAGCCCTTCCCCAATCTCCATTCTGGTACCCTTTCATTATCTTCAGCAAGCAGAGCTGCTGGCATCAGGTTGCTGAAACAAAATCTAGCTAAACAAAAAGTTAAGGACAATATAACTCTAGGAAGAATCAGAAGCTATACTAGTAAGAAAGAAAAGTAAAATATGGGAAACCTAGAAACATTCAAGGATGAGGGTGAACAAATTGAAATTGTATCCAAACAAGACAGAAGTACTCCTGGTCAGTCATAAGGCCAAACAGGGTATAGGGTTACAGCCTGTGTTGGGCAGGGTTGCAATCTCCCTGAAGACACAGATTTGCAGCTTGAGAGTTCTTCTGACTCATCACTGAGCCTGGAACCTCAGGTCTTGGTGGTGGCCAGGGGAGCATTCACACAATTAAAACTTGTGTGGCAGCTGCGCCCGTACCTTGAGAAGCCAGACGCTGCCACGGTGGTCCATGCTCTCGTCACATCTTGTTTAGATTATTGCAATGCCTTCTACATGGGGTTACCTTTGAAGACTGTTTGGTAGCTTAAAGTAGTCCAACGGGTGGCAGCCAGGTTGCTCACTGGAGCGACATACAGGGAGCATATAAGCCCCTTGCTGTGTCAGCTCCACTGGCTGCCATTCTGCTATCAAGCAGAATTCAAAGTGCTGGCTTTAGCCTATAAATCCCTAAATGGTTCTGGTCCAGCTTACCTGTCCAAATGCATCTCCCTCTAAGAGCCAGCTAGAACACCAAGGAGGCCCTGCTTTCTGTCCCTTCGTCTTCTCAGGTGTGATTGGCAGGGACGAGGGACAGAGCCTTCTCAGTGGCTGTGGAACTCCCTCCCCAGCGAGATCGGCCCCCTCCCTCCTCGCTTTCAGGAAACAACTTAAGACCTGGTTATTTAAGAAGGCATTTGGTGAATGTCAGAAACATGTAAATATGGAAGTAGTTAAAGATATCCTCTGAATTGTTTTATGTATTGTGTGTGACTGGTGTTTTATGGTTTTAAAATTTGAATGGTTTTAATCTATTGTCATTGTTATTCTTTTGATATGTGTTGTTTTACACATAATCAATGGTAAAACATTGAATTTTGCCATTATCGATTTGAGTCCTCCTAGGAGTGAGAAAAGTGGTATATAAGTACAATAAATAATATATTCAATTTTTGTACTAAAAAGTTTAATTATCATTTGTTTTAAATAAAAGAAACCTTCTTTTCTTGCTTATATTTAGTTCTGGTTCCATATTTATTATTCTGTTATGGTTTTATTTCAATTACAAGCATTTAGGACATTTACTGGAAGGATAGGAAAAAAAGCTAAAGTGAGGGAGGAGGAAAGCACTATCAAATTCCAAAGCAACAGCAGTAATGATTTAGATACTCACACACATATTTCGTACTAGCACATATAAAGTAGCAGAGAGCAAAATAATTTATCCAGCCAACGTTTACAAAGAAATATTGTCTCTGTCGCAGAACTGGGAAAAATAAGATAGTTTCCATCATAAAAGAAGGAAACACTCAAATGTTCACTATCATGAAAAAGTTTGACATATTGCTATTTATAGTATAAAATGACATCCATATATAGAGCTGCAACTGACTTTTCCCTACTGCAATGGCACATTGTAATCTTTCTAGATCAAAAGTGTTTGTTTGTTATTTGCAACTAATATTTCCAAATCCATCCCGTTTTTTAATAGATAAGTAATAAAATCATTCATGGCTGGGGGAAATGCAAAAGAAAGTGTATTAAGTTCCTTCTGCTTACCCAGATTATAGTAAGAAGGAATAAGAGATTAAAACTGCACATCTGAATTATAAAATAAATAGCAGATAACATAAGCATAAGCCTAGGCAAAATATGCAGAATTCTAATGTTTCCCAGGATATCCAGAAATACAAACCTTTAAATTTAAAAGTGAGAACATAAATATTTGTAAAAAAATCATGTCTTAACCAATGGCGCCACATATATTCTCTAATTTCTCCCCCAGGCTTTACTTTGTATTATATATTAAATATTAAGAATAATAGTTACACCACAATTCTTTAAAAATTCTAATTAAATTTTAAATACTGAAACTAAGCAAGCAGTAATTTCCTTACTGACCTACACATTCAAAGCAGCCGATTGCTCTGCCAAATCAAAAATCATAAAGAGCTCCAACAGTTAGGTGCAACTTTGTTTATAAACGTTTTAGCTAGAAACATTATGTAAACAACTCAAAATATAAAAATAACTTGAAAAGTTTAAGAAATTAATGCTGGCTTCACTTCAGTGGCACAGGAAAAAAGTGCAAAAATACAGGATAAAAACTTGGCAATATATCAGTAACATACAATTACTGAAAATAAGAGGGTAGAGAATCTTCATAAAACCATCTGCTAATGGAACGAAAACATGGGAGGTCAGTTAATGCTGTAATAATTGTTTTAAGCACATTTATGAACAGTTTCTTCTGTTTTTCCAAAAGCAGCTGCAATCCCCTTCTCTCCCCATTTCACAATTTACAAAGGGGAATTCCAAATTCAAGTAAACATATGCAAGACCTATATCTAACTAAAATATAATTACTTTTCTAGACAGCTTTTTAAAATATTGGTTTAAATTTGTACTTGTTATTTTTAAGAGGAGCCTTTAGGCTAACCAAGTTCTAACAATGAACATTTTAATGTTATTTTAGTGTGATAAACTGTTGTGGTAACAAGTACTAACAGTTTTCAAATGCCATTAGTTTTGAAGTTAATATGTTAAATCAGTATGCTCTGGTAAGAGATAGATAATACATCAACACTTGTCCTCATGTTTTCAGTTAATTGAAAATGACAAGACAATACTCAAATGACATGGAGGGGAAATAATGTTTATATTCCCAAACCTGAACTATTGCTATCTTTTATTGGGACATCTTCTACTTCCACAAATGTATGAGTCAAAGAGTCTAATTCATGATGAATATACAGAAATACAAAGCCCCCTAAACCCAAACAGTAGAAGGAACACTTTCTCCAACCTGCATGAACTGTAACGCTAGTTTTAAAAGCCCTCCTAAAGCTGAAATGCCTATCAGCTATTAAAACATCCAGAATTTCCCAGAGGCCCACCTACGTTCTTTCTTCTGAACCATAACTAGCTTCTTTTCTATTTATCTTTAGACATGTACTAGCAGCTTTTGTTTTTCAGCATTTTATGTTTTGATCTTTCTGTTTTGAAACTGCCTCATTTATTCCCTGAACTGTTGTAAGCTACCCCAAGATCACATGATGATTTTGTCTATAAAAAATCAAAGTTCTCCTCTCACATGGGTTATAAAGCAGCATGACAAAGTGTCAGGTAAGTCTGGAAGAAGACAGAGGGAGAAGAAGTAAGACAAGAATGTTTAATATATTTAAGACTTAATTTACTAGTAATGAATCGAATAAGAAGGAATGAAGCTACATAACATGCAATGATCTAAAAAATAAAATTATATTTCTTCTTTAGAATAACCATTCTTATTACACGATGACTACCATATTATAGCGAAACGGGACCAAAAAGATAAAAAGAACAATCTTACTTATAAAGCACCTAAAAAGTATACGCCCCCCACACCCCAAATCCACTTTGACATTTCTTTTTTGCTGGTTGTGACAACCTAGCACTGAAATGAATTTAATAGATATTGATATCACTTGATGTATACAAGAATCTCAAGACTATCAAGCTACAAAACATTTTTGACACAAAAATTAAATAAATATTTGATTGTTGAGGATCTTGCATGTATCAAGGGGCTGACAATGACAATTAAATCCACTTCAATTCCAGTTTGTAACACATCAAAATCTGAAAACATTAAGGTGATGTTGCCCTGCATTATTCCTAAACAAGATTTCATTTCTTCAGCGACAAGCAGGAATATGATCAATTATGAAATCACATAATTGCTATCAGTTATAAGGGATAATGCACAGGGTAACAACATAGTGCTAAAGCAGTGGTTCTCAACCTGGGATCCCCAGATGTTTTTGGCCTACAACTCCCAGAAATCCCAGCCAGTTTACCAGCTGTTAGGGTTTCTGGGAATTGAAGGCCAAAAACATATGGGGACCCCAGATTGAGAACCACTGTGCTAAAGGGACAGGCCTGTGGGCCAGAATGTCTCAATCTTGTGTTAACGTGAGTCTGCAGGACAAGAACTAAGGGAACAAACAATTTTCTGTTTGCATTCTTTTTGACCAGACACCCCATAAGTGCAAATGTTTTCAGGCACTTTCAAAAACTGACCATTTCAACCATTTACAAGCCTCAGTAGGGAGAAGGTCCTAGGAGACTGCGGCTATGGCAAAGAAAGCCAAGGTCCAACTTTGGATTTAAATGAAATAGTAAAGAAGAACTACATACTCAATTTAAACAAAAGCAGTATACATATAGATTTCACTCCCTATTTAATATAAATAAAAAGCAGAATATATTTTGTTGATCATGTTTGGCTATCAGTTCACAGTAGGCCATTGTTATCTGCTGAGGTTTAGTTCCAGGACCCCTATGGATGCCAAAATCAGTGGATACTTAAATCCTTCTATATATGACATAATAAAATAGTGTACTTATACACAATGGCAAAATCAAAGTTTGGTTTTTGAATTTTTACATACACACACACACATACACGTCATGGTTGATCACATCAATGGATATAGAATCTGTACATACACAGGGATTGTATGAGATTAAGGCTAAAACATTAGTAATATTTTCCCTCTTCATTTTTTGAGTCCCCTAAAAAGGTGAGTTGGTATCTTCATATACACACTATATTTTAGGTGTCTTTGTATTTATTACTGCAAACTATTATTACTGCAGCAACAAAGTTCTTCATGGCATCACAATGAAGGTGTGCTTAGCTTGCAAACTCTTTTTGCTTTTATGTAATACAAAAAAAGGTTTATAAATGAATTCTACAACCGATTTCCAAGTGGACAGTTTTTATCTTTACAATGCGTATGTGAGTGGATTAATATGTACATACAAAATGACAAATTTTCCAAGTGAACCCTTAACATACATTGTTTATTAGACAATTCAGGGTTTTTCTTCTGTAATGCCCAAGAGCACAAATCATTATATATTTAGACATAATGTAAATGCACAATGTCTGAATAACTTACATTATTAATGCTTCCCACTCAAAGAAATTTTCTTCATTCATAGGCCCTATTTTAAAGACAAACAAAAGTGTTATTTGACTCAGAAGACGCCTAACTCAAAAGTAAAGAAATGAAAGAATAAATAAGATCCCTTACCGGCTACTATGCCTTCTGGTGGATTCAGAGTCAGCTCTAAAATTAAGAAAATATGTCTTCAGTATTTTTGAAAAAACTCATACTTTAAAAAAAGCAAGCACAAGACATTCACCAGTCTGCAATGAGAATGGAATTACAAATCATTATACAATGACTAACTAGCAAACCAAGAAGAGAAGGGGAAATTTTTCAAGTATTTTGCATTTTTGAACAAATATTTTCTGTTTTAGCACATATAAATTATGATCTCACTTTTCTCTACATTGTAACTATTAATATGTGTCAATTAATACTAATTTATAGAACTAGAATGGAAAAATGACTGGAGAAAAGAAACACCATGAAAAAAGGAGTTATTGCTCTCTCTAGTGGAAAAGATGCAAACACCAGCATCAATGTTTTATTTATTCATCTATGCTTATTTGAGCCTCCATAATACAGTGCATGACAGCTAAATTAATTATATGTTTGGCATACAGAGTCCTGGATAGGAAAAAGCCACCGCCTTGCTCTTACCCTAGGTAAGGTAGCTTCACATGTTTAGTCACATACATATCCATTTTGAAGATGACCATGCGGATCCAGAATAGGTCTCTAGAGTCACTTACAGACCCATCCCCAAGACTCTACTTCTGGAAGACAATCACACTTAGCCACAAGTGATAGCCTATGATAATGATGATTGTCAATATAGTGCTTTTTTCACACTTTCACATGGTAGAAACAAAGGAAGCTCCTTATATTGAGCCAGACCATTCCTTCATATAGGCTTATATTGACTGGCAGAAGCTCTCTGGGTTTTTTTGATTGAAGGGTTTCCCAGTCCAATTGAAGATTCCTATTATAAGATCTTTACATTGAAAACATCTATCCCGCCACCAAGCACTATGGTGAATTGTCACCATAGTTGACAATTCAGTTGAATATGTCTCATGATTAATTAACATAACATTAAACTTGTCTAATGTACTACTTACCTGACTAACAGGTTTGTTTCTGCTTTATATAATTGAACTGGAATTTGAGCTAGCCTATCATTTAGCTCTCCCAAATACAGCTAATATAATGACATAACAAATCAAAGTAATCAGTACTTTTCGAGAATATCTGAAACCATGAGCCAATCTAGTGCAATTGTATAAATATTGGATTAGGTGCTCAGAATAGTCAACTCTGAATTCTCATTTGGCCATAGGATATCTTGGAAGTATGTAAATATGTTTCATATAAACCATATACACTTAGCTACTAAGTGACATTATACAATATTTTAAATAATTAGTTATAGTGAACCATCAGGAAGCAAAGATGTCACTTTCTTTTCTTGTGTATTTTCTTGATTTTTATTTATTCTGTACACTAGCCATTTTCCTGATTTATTGGCTTGTTCAAAGTAGTTTTATTTGTGTATCTTAACTTTCTTTCTACATCTAACATTGTGATTCCATCTAGTTCTTTCTCTACATTATTAGTTTCTTGTCTAGTTCAAAATTAGTTGCATCTCTTTTTTAGTTTCTTTTCTGTTTCCATCATTTCCTATATAATATCCTCTTAATTATTTCTTTGTTCTTCTTGTTCCATTCACTATTTTTAAAGAAAAAAAACCCTAGTGGTACCTTTAGTAGCATCCCAAATTGTTCTCCAAATGATTACTCCAGTTGCATTATCATTAAAATATTTATTTAAAGGGAATTTGGCCCCTTCTATTAATTCTTCGTATTTCAGTAATATTTCATTCAGTCCCTATATGAAATCTTTTTTCCAATTTCTTAATGCTAGTAGTACTGGACAATGGTCTGAAATAATTTTGGGCATAATCTCTATATTTTTATTCTAGTACATAGATTTTTGGTTATTGGGAACACATCAATCCTTGACCATGATCTGTGTATATTGGAGTAAAAAGTAAAATCCCTTTCTTACCCTTTTTATGTCATCAGGCATCCAGTAATGCTAAATGTTCACACAATATATCAAAGGATTTGGGCAGTTTCCCTTTAAACTTTTCATTACTTAGTTGTAATGAAACTATCATCTTGTGGGTCCAACACTACATTCCAATCTCCATAGCAGATCAATTCTACATGATCATATTCTAAAACTGTTTGCTGAAGGTTTTTTTTTAAAATCACTGGGTTCACTGGGTTGTTGTAGGTTTTTTTAAATCACTGGGTTCACTGGGTTGTTGTAGGTTTTTTTCGGGCTATATGACCATGTTCTAGACGAAACGTCAGGAGAGAATGCCTCTAGAACATGGCCATATAGCCTGAAAAAAACTACAACAACCCAATTGCAACATTCACATTTGCCTCCAACAGGCAAGAGTTCTTTCTCCCTCCTTGGACTTCCAACAGATATATAAACCTCCCTTGTCTAGTTTCCAATATACCTCACAACCTCTGAGGATGCCTACCATAGATGTGGGCAAAACATCAGGAGACAACATGGAACATGGCCATACAGCCTGGAAAACTCACAGCAGTCCAGTGATCATGGCCGTGAGAGCCTTCGACAAGACAAAGTTTATTATTATTACTCGAACCATAGTTTTCCCAACTAAACTGGGGGAACACAGTGATTCCCAAACTCCAGACTTCATTTCCCAAAAGCATCTGCTCCTTGGGATTATGCTCAGGAATTCTGGGAATTGGGATTCCCAAATCCATGGAAGAACAGTGTTAGGGGAAGAACTGACCTACAGCTACTCGAATACTTTAGAGGCCTACAGTTTCCATCAGCCTGAGAATGGCAAGGAATTGTGGGAGTTGTAGTGTAGTGAGGGCCGAAAGTGCATCTACATCAGGCTTTGGCAAACTGGTGCCCTCCAGGTGTTTTGGACTCCAACTCCCACCATTCCTAACAGCCTCAGGCCCTTTCCTTTTGCCCTCAGCCGCTTAAGCGGCTGAGGGGCAAAAGGAAGGGGCCTGAGGCTGTTAGGAATGGTGGGAGTTGGAGTCCAAAACACCTGGAGGGCCCCAGTTTGCCCAGGCCTGTTTTATAATGTCTCCCACGACCCTCCCTCCTCTCCCGTCTCCGCTCACGTTTATACTCCGCCATGAGTCGCTTGAGCGCGGTGCCGGCCATGGCGAAGCGGCCCAGGGAGCCTCCGAGCAAGGCCGAGAGACGCCGCTGGAAACCTCGCTCCCGCCCCTGGCTTCCAACTCCTTTCGCCTCGGGCGCCTCCAGCGCCGCACTTCCGGTTCGCCTGCCAGAGCGGAAGTCGACCCAGACCGGAAGTCTGTGCCTTTCAAGGAAGCCCATAGATATACTAAAAGAAAAGACTGGTTTATAAGGAGATTTTTTTTAACACTAGCCGTCCCCTGCCACGTGTTGCTGTGACCCAGTCTGTGTATATGTGTTTTGTATGTGTATGTTTCTATATATTTGTGGTTTTGCTCATGCGTTGTAATGTATTATTTGTTTATTGGCTTTTAAGTCCCTTCTGCTGTGTTTTTAATGAGTGATGGTCACTCGTTGGCCTGATAGGTGTATTGTGTCCAAATTGGTGGTCAATTCGTTCAGTGGATTATCTGCTTTGATAATCTGGATTATATCACAGAATCATAGAGTTGGAAGAGACCTCATGGGCCATCCAGTCCAACCACCTGCCAAGAAGCAGGAATATTGCATTCAAATCACCCCTGACAGATGTCCATCCAGCCTGTTTAAAAGCTTCTAAAGAAGGAGCCTCCACCACACTCCGGGGCAGTGAGTTCCACTGCTGAACGGCTCTCACAGTCAGGAAGTTCTTCCTCGTGTTCAGATGGAATCTCCTCTCTTGTAGTTTGAAGCCATTGTTCCGCTGTCCTAGTCTCCAAGGAAGCAGAAAACAAGCTTGCTCCCTCCTCCCTGTGGCTTCCTCTCCCATATTTATACATGGCTATCATATCTCCTCTCAGCCTTCTCTTCTTCAGGCTAAACATGCCCAGCTCCTTAAGCCGCTCCTCATAGGGCTTGTTCTCCAGACCCTTGATCATTTTAGTCGCCCTCCTCTGGACACATTCCAGCTTGTCAATATCTCTCTTGAATTGTAGTGCCCTTCTACGGCAGTGTAGAAGGGACCTGTGTAGTATATTCATGCTAAAGCAAACTGCAGATATTGTCAATATGATACAGGGGAGAATTTCCCCAATAAAAGATAATTATGGTATAATGGGTATAATGCAGTGGTTCTCAACCTTGGGTCCCCAGATGTTTTTGACCTTCAACTCCCAGAAGTCCTAACAGCTGGTAAACTGGCTAGGATTGCTGGGAGTTGTAGGCCAAAAACATCTGGGGACTTCAGGTTGAGAACCACTGGTATAATGTATCAATGAAATGCCATCAAATACTAATACAAGTACACTCTGCTCTTATCACTGCTCTGTAAAACATAGCTAAAATCAGACTTAGGCTGGATCGATACTACCCTATATCCCAGGTTCTGATCCCAGATTATCTGGCACTGGAGTCTCCAGTTCAAATCAGATAATCTGGGCTCAATTCGTCCTTTGCTTTTGGAGTTGTAGTTCACCTACATCCAGAGATCACTGTGGACTCAAACGATCAATCTGGACCAAACTCTACACGAATACTCAATATGCCCAAATGTGAAATTGGTGGAGTTTGAGGAAAATAGAATCTTGACATTTGGGAGTTGTAGTTGCTGGGTTTTATAGTTCACCAATCTCAGAGCATTCTGAACCCCACCGATAGAATTGGGACAAACCTCCCACACAGAACCCCCATGTGGGCCACAGCAACGCGTGGCAGGGGACAGCTAGTCTGTATATATGTGAGAAGATGCTATTAAATCGACTAGGCCGTTATTTTGAATCCCAGCTCATCACACAAGCAGGCTTTGTTTGAAGGAAAAACCATACAACTCAAAATCTTAATGTGTTGTCAAAGGCTTTCATCAGAAGAGCTGCAAGGCCAAGAACGAGCCACGAGAGTAAAGACAAAAATCCACCCAGAGGAAGTGTTCTTACCATACATGACCGCATAGGGAAGCTGATGAAGAAACACAACCTACAAACTTTCTACAGACCCACTAGGAAAATTCAACAAAGGACAAGAGGTATCCTCTCATCTCTGCAGGAGTCTACCATATACCATGCAGCTGTGGACAAGTCTAACGAGGAAATTACAAATGGATGCCCCCCCCCCCCCAAATGAGGGTCTGCCTCCAGGAGCAAACCAAGAATGGGCAACTTAGAAGTCCCTGAACAGAAGTGGAATTGGCAGATCAAAAGACAAACCTGGCAAAATGGCATTACCTAGAAGAATCCTCCACCTTCTGTGATTGTGGAGCAGAACACACACAGCATCTGAACACTTGCCCACAATGCCCTGCCTTATGCAGAGGAAGAACTGCTACACACAATAGTTGCTGTTGCCTTTTTGGTCTAAAATTATTTAGCTCCTTGTGCTCCCTTTATTTTATTAGTTTTATATTTATTTGTTTATGCTTTATTTATTTATTCATTTTATGCTTATTTTTAGAACTCCGTGAAAGTAGGAAAAGCACAAATACAATATTTTAAAACCTGAAACACCTCTAGCATCCTCCGGAAGATAATCATAGTTGCCCTGGCAGACCTAGAGAACATAATCAAACCCACAAATAACCAAATCTGCAAAAACACACAAATGTGGAGGAGAGTACACATCCAATTCAGCTGTCATATAAAACAAGGAATTCCTCTACTTTTAGCTGCAGTCAAGGAAATGCATCTGAGGCTTGAAGATAAATGGAAATCTATTCCATAGTCATCAATGACTTCCAAGACAGACCACCTTTTGCTAGCAAAAAACCCCCAAAAAAACCACAAAACCCTCTGAACTGCCTCAGGAGTATGATTCACCTTTAAATTGCCACAGCCTGGTCCAATCTGCACACATATCTTATTCACTTGCATTCTCTATAGTTGCAAGATTCATGAAACACGTGAGGTTTGTTGGAGCCACAATAATTCATTCCCTTCTATACTTGTACACCGTATCATTATATCTATTTTAAATAACTTTCAAGATATTAACAATTTTCACTGTAATATATATATATATATAATATCCACTCACTAAGGTTTATTCAATGTATAATCAATGCTGGCAACTATCAATTTTTGGATGAATAAGATGTTACTTATGCTCAACATAAACAGAGTAGCCAAGAAACTTTTAAACTGGCTGTAAAATTTAATTCCATTTATGAGATATATAGTAGTCAAGAGCACTTCTGCTACAGGAAGCTTCTGGTATAGACAGCAAATACTGAAGTTGAGATCCTGTTCAAACCATCTTAAAATCAGAAATAGACTTTCTATAGAACAAATGTATTTCAAGTTTATATCGCATGCTCCATAACCTCAGTGTTACTAAATGTGAAAGTTAGTAGCAGCATAGAAAAGCAGAACTGCACCTATGGGAACTGCCAATGTCTCAAAGTTTGGGCATATCACATTTTTAGAAATTTCAAGTGCTGTTTTCTCAGTGCAGTTTGACTCTGGAAATCATTTGGGAAACTTAACTTTACAGATATCTTATTCGATGTTTCTGAGAATGCGTATATGCACAACACAGTACAGTAATGGAAAATAAAATCTCAAATCTACAAAATATTATCCTGGAACTGGTTCTTGGTTTCTTGTAGCTAACAAATGTGTAATTACTGCTGAGCATGAATCAGCTTTCAATTTGCCTATATTTTCCCCCAAAAGCGATTGGATAACTATCACTTTGTTCAAAACCTGTCGGTGTGAACTGTGACTAAATTGAGTATCAACACTAGGTTCGGCATCACTACTTCTGCAGCAATAAACAGAAAACATGGCCTTGCTCTTTACTCCATCAGTATTTCCTCTGCTACCACTAGTTTTCAGAGCATAACCATGCACACATAACAGATCATGTACTTTTCATAGTACACATTTCTTGCTGAAACAGAATACACGCTTGAGGGAAAGTCTCACGAGCTAACTTCTAATACAAGTTGACAAAAACAAAGGGCTAGGCTTTATAAGAAACATTGATGTGTATGGATGTTTATACCTTGAAAAGTAGGTTTACTCTCCATAAAAGAATTTTAATAAAGATGTACATATAAGTTGCCAGCATTTTGGTGATATAGGCTACAATACAGTCATAAGAAACGCAGCAGCATTAAGCATAAGTCAAGAGACAGAGTACCAAACTATATTTACTGTATACAGTAGTAAAGGACATATATTATACAAATTGATGAAGAAACAGCAACAGATTTAAAAAGAAATTCCTCCTTTGCCCATATACAATTGATGAAAAGTTTTTTTTCCAGCAGGGTATCTTCCAAGCCAATGATCTAACAGATAGATACAAAAGGCAGAAAGTGACCTTTTCAAGCAGCAATAAACAGCCTACTGAAACTGAACAAATAAATCTGCATTTTCATTTGGATATACTGAAGAACATTGCAAGCTAGATATTCTTACATCAATTCAATTAAAACCCAAATGGGGAAGGGGGGAGTAATACAGCAAGTCTCATTAAAAACATGAGATTTTATTAATGGATGTTTTGTGGTCGCCTTCTTCAAAGAATATGCACATTTAGTTTTAACCAAAAAAATATACTGAAATTCTTTATTTTGAATAATGTGGATCAAAGGCTGGAGTCCAAAGAGCCTTATTCTTGGCATCAACCTGTGTCATACTGCATATTACTCCAGATAGCCAAACTCAGATGAGGAGGCAATGTCAGGGTACAAAAGGAGATGAACTAGAGATAGGGATCAAGAAAACCTGGTTCATATGCAGAACATGACTCTTTAAATGCCAGCTTGTTTTGGAAAATCATAGAAAATAAGCTTATAAAATGAGCTTTCATATGTGTTCACAGAAATAAGGTATATAACGACTATCTAAAATCAATCATGAGAAGTAATGATTCTCAATAGGAACCATCTGCTGAGAACATCTCCCACGTGTCCCATTAAAATGAGAGTTGTACAGCAGAGCCTATAAGAGGATTCTGGTCCACTCCTTTAAAAGGTAATAGTGCTCAACCCCAGAGATGTGATTTTTTTTTTCTTTAAAATAGTAGCTGTAAAAGTTAATTCTACAGCAGCTGACAAACTCAAAGACATTCCATTACTTTAAAAAACTTGTTTGATTCTATGCTATTTTATTATGAAAAAGCACATGTACATTTGCATTATCTTAAACTGCCACTATGTTCAGCATTGTATTTGAAGGTACTGCCCTTTCTGCATATCCCATTAACAGGTTTAAAGTATTAACTTTATTAAATGGTAAAACTCTTTCTCTTCTTTCCCAAGCCATCTATTCTGAGAAAAAAAAACCTTTACTTTTGCAAGGAAAAATATTTCAATATTTACATTACTATAATTAAACAGTAAAACAAAAACAACAAAAGCCAGAAGTAATTATTCTTGTTTTACAGTAGGTTGGTATTTAGGCCACCAATTCATAGGGACAAGATTACAGCAGACAACAGCAAGTATTTTAGTTATTTGAAAAATTAATTTTAACTGGGCCCATTTTATGATGCAGTTATTTTCCACAGATACAGCTTCCACTTGCACACGCAGTATATCAGGAACAAAAAAAGAATTTGGATAGGTGTCCTCAGAATGTGAGAAGATTCCTGTATGCCTGGCATGTTCACTTGTTTACCATTTAATATCAACTCCAAGGACAGATGACAAAGTGAGGTGACATTTTACATTCCTCTTCCCAAAATGACAGGATATTTAGCACATGCCACCCGTCTGCTGTTGAAACACATCAATAGTATCTTCATCTTCCATCTCCAACTGGAAAAGAAAAATTTAAAAATCATTGGTGTTAAATGTTACTCTTTAAGGTATTGATGGATTCTGTGCTATTCTTTGTTACTCATGCTCGCATATAGTTTCAGTGACTTAGAAAGTATTTATACATCTCCTCATTTTCCTCCTTACCACATTATCCTTCCAACTCTCAGAGGGCTCTTCTACACAGCTGTATAAAATCCAGATTATCTGCTTTGAATTGGATTATCTGGCAGTGTAGAAGGGGCCTGAGATTCAAGTAGGAATTCAAAAGTAAAAACTCCAACCAATATATTTATAGAACAGCTCTACAGCTCTAATTGCTGCAGTATCTTCTCCATTCACAAACATGCTGTATGTAGAGTACAAATAATCTTTAAGTATAAATCAACGTTTCTTGCCATACGTCTTTAAAACAAACACAAGCCATGTACTTGCCAACTGACTTCAACAGTTCTCAATGCAACAAGCAGATCAGGTACTTTAATCTCTTGTTTTATTCCTAATCTTTCATGCATGCTTAACAAAGAGTGGTCATGCATTGCCAGTGTGTATGTCTAGTTTATCTGATGTGCATCTTGGTAGACATACCAAACAGGCTGTTAATGAAAACATCTTCAAAAAAATGTCAAAGAAAACCTGGAAAGGAAAAGTGAGATGATTTTCTCCTTTACCATCTGGTCTTAAAGTAGCAGCTAGTATTTTTGCAAAATACCAGCCCATAGGAAGAATTCAACTATATTTTCTGGAACTGGAATTCTCCATTTTCCCACCCAGCTTCTCCAGAAAAGTGTTAGTAAGAGTTCCTGATGAAATGCAACACAGGTGAGAGATTATTGCTCCTTTCTGCCAACCAAGACATTTAGAAGATAAGAAATGAAGCCTCTTCCTTTGCATGGGTTTTTGCAGAAATACTGCAAGATACTGCTTCCACCTCATCACACTTTCTTTTCAACTCTCCCAGATATTCAAATTGATTCAGCATGGAAGCAAAAAAGAGTATGAACCAGACGACTTTCCAAAAGGAAGGGTCAGATATAACCACGGATAATGGGGTGTTTTTTTTTAAGTAAACAAGCCAAAATCATTAGATTCCTGACCATAAACACAAAGCCCAAGATACAACATGACACAAGCAGAGAAAAAAGCACTGCAGTGGATTTGACTGATGCAGAAGCAATAATGCCAAAAAACAGCACATACATGTGATGTGTTTTGTGCAACAGAACTAAGCTGCATGTATAGGTTGCTTGCCATTAGCCATAAGTTCTTGCCTAATGGAAAAAGAAAACAAGGGACGAGGACAGAGTATCCGGTTTTAGGGCACGCTAATGATCAAAAACATGCAGGTTGAAGCATATATAATAGACCAAACACATATTTGATTTGATTTCAAATATGCGTTTAGCTGCATTTTTAGCTAAATATTTAATCCAATGTCACTTTACTTAAGAATAATTCTTATTTAATAGAGCCTAGACCCATATAAAACAGGGCTGCAGGCTCTTTACTATTTGTAGGATCTCACATATACAGACCTGATTGGTAAAAAGCATATATTATGATCTCATTTGTCTGTGGTCCCTTCTACACTGCCATATAAATCCAGACTGTATGCTTTGAACTCGATTATATTGCAGTGTAGTTCAAGCAGATAATGTGGATTATCTGCTCTGATAATCTGGATTATATGGCAGTGTAGAAGGAGGCTGTGCAGTATATTCATGCCAAAGCAAAATGCAGATATTGTCAATATGACACAGGGGAGAATTTCCCCAAGAAAAGATAATCATGGTACACTTTGTATCTGATCTTACCACTGCTCTGTATAACTGCTACTTCCTAGGGCCCTTTCACACAGCCCTATATCCCAGAATATCAAGTCAGGAAATCCCACAATATCTGTTTTGAACGGGGTTATCTGAGTCCACACTCAGATAATGTGGGATTTTCTGCCTTGATATTCTAGGATATAGGGTTGTGTGGAAGAGCCACTAGAGAAGTGGTATATGCAGCTATAGATGCTAAGAGGTTTCTTTAAAAGAAAATCTTACTTCTGGATTCAGATTTTCTCTTCCTACTTTGATGGAAAGGGCTTCATTATGGTTATTAATAATTCAACACCACAAAAGGAAACTTTTACACATGGAACAAAAGAACTTTTTTTCTATGCATTTGCACAATTCCTAAGATATAGACAGAAACTACACCTCTATAATATCAAGCAACACTCTTCTCTTACCTGTGCAGGTGTGTCTGTTTCATTAATTGGCTGTCCATCAAATCTGAATCTAATCTGTCTCATTGACAAACCCTGGAAGATAACAGATAAAAGATATCAAAGATATTTTAATTATTGTCAAAGTATATTTTATACAAAATGTGTACCTCAGAAGTCCAGTTCAAGTCAGGGATAGCAATGACCTCATACAGTATTTCTATACATTTATGCATTTTACCCATTTTAATCAGGACTACTAGAAATGAAAAGTGTTTGGGTGATATTTCTTTTCTTTGTTAACGTAGAACTGTATAGCTTCTAATAAATACAAATATAGATATAGTAACCAACAAGCCAACAGAAAAAGGATTTCATTCCACCTTCTCTTGATTTTCCTTTGTGGTCTCCAATATAACACTGTTAACTCAACTAATCATGAGAGCATTGAGACTTAAATCCACCACGTGGCCCATGTTCCTACATGCTTTCTTAAAGTTGTAGAACAGAAGTGAAATAAGCTATAGCATAGCACTGAAAGATGACATTAGAAAGATGGAGAGGGAAAGCTAGAGAAAGCTACTTTCAGTATTGGGCTGTGCCCATTATGAAGATTTCACTACACTTTCTGTCCATGATAATTGGATTTTGAAAAATTTGGGTTTGCTGTGGAAACAAGGATTGGTGAGAAAGCTTCAGCTGAGACACCTTTTGCACATGGTAACTTTTTCAGGAGTGAATTTCCCTTCTGGAGGTTGATTTCTCTCACTTCCTGTGGTCTCACACCCATTCTAAACTATGAGTTGTTTGTAAGTCAGATGTTTGTAACTCGGGGACTGTCTGTATAGCTGTGTTTATATACAATAGGTCAAGTTATCACTCCCTGAGCATGTGTGGAGAGCAAAACAGACCGAAGAAGGAAAAACAGATATGCCTCCCTCAACTGGTATCCTGGTATATTTTTTTAAAAACGTAGCTCACTAAGTTTTGCCACCAAAATGGAAGTCCTAAGAAAAGCAGAGGCTGTTGAAAGAAAAGAAAATCCATACAAATTTTGGAAGACACATTTAAGTGGTCTCAGGAACATTAAAAATAATGGAGACTTTCCTGACCTGGCTGTTCATTTCACACGTGTGCTAGCCTGGATTTGAATAAAAAGGTTTACTGAAACATGTTGAACCTATCCCTGTCAATGTTCCTTCCATATATGGTAGCAAAGTTTCTGTTGAAGAAGTAATTCTTGAAGACATCCACTCTGTATAGGTTACCTGTATAGGTTATCACTTCTATACCCAGGATCTCTCTGACAAGCAAATAATGGACATATGAAACATTTTGATGCATTCATCACTTGAAATACCACAATAAATATTATGTACATTTCACTTTTTTACCTGTCTCTCACAATAAGCCTTCATGAGTTTACTTAGCGGTGTGTGCCGTTTAATTTTAAATTGGACCACTGATCCATCTTGACCAGCTACTTTCAAATTGATATGATCATTCTCTGTTTTTACTCCTTCCTGCCAAACAAAGTAGAAAAATACGTATCAATATTTGTAAAAGTCAGAGAACCAATACTAACTTACTCAACCAGGAATTAAATGATTGACAGCATAATCTGTTGCCCAAACACATTATCTGAGATATTTGTAATAGGTCTGATAAACAGTACATGAATTGATCAAATAATTACAAATAAATCACAACATTAATGCCATACATCTGCATAGTTCTAGTCAGTGTTTTGGGCAGTAGAAAGAAAAACAAAATATAACGCACTTCTCACCCTGAGCCCTGCCACATGCACCATGGACGACCTTCTTGCGGCAACACCAGAGGCACTCCAAGTGGCCAGATACTGGTCAAAAGACATTTAACCAAATACCAAATTTGCAAAATCTGTGTTTTTTTCTCCTTTTTCTTTTTAATCTGTGTGTTTGTTTTGCTCTGTTAGAATTGTAATTCAATGGTTGCTGATGACACGATAAATAAATAAATACTTCTCACTAAAGCAGTCATCAAAGTGCAATTTTGGAGTATAATTTAGGATTAATCCATATTGTGTAAAGTGTGCCAGCTGAGATCTTTTCAGCAGCTCCAGCATCCAATAACAGACATGAGCACTCTTATTTCTTGACACTCCTCCAAGAAATGTGTAACTAATACTGCCTGAATGTAAATCTGAAAGAAATGCCACTTCAAGTTAGAACTAAAATTTTGCTTATGGGAGGGGGATTAAAAAAAATACTGATACATCTATGACAAACATGGAATAAACTTTTAGCTCTATTATCAGTTTTTTAAAACATTCAAACATATGTTATATATGAATCTTACTTGTAAGTAATTTTGTTCAATACACTCCTGAATAATTTGTAGATTTTAAGGGCTATGCAAACAATACAAATCTTGTTGCTGCTGCTGCTTGCCTTTGAGTCTGACTTATGGTGACCCTAAACTGAACCTGTTTCCTTCCCAAGATTTGTTCACGGGAGGCTTGCCATTACTTTCATCTCAAGCTGAGAGTATGATCTGTTCAAAGTCATCAAGTGGTACCTATTGATCTACTTACATTTGCATGTTTTCGAACTGCTAGGTTGGCAGAAGCTAGGGCTGACAGCGGCAGCTCATGCCACTCCCCGGAATCGAACCTGCGACCTTTCGATCAACAAGCTCAGCAGCTCAGTGCTTTAACCCACTGCACCACCGGGGGCTCCTTTCCATCTTACCATTTTAACATTCAAGCAAGTAAACTTCTCCCTAGGACAATGGGATTCCAAAGCTTACTGGTATAAATCCAACTGCTATTCCCAGTTGTGCCTGGGAATACCCTTCCAAATCACTGAGTGCACCTACAACTTAGAATTAATGCAGTTTGATACCACTTTAACAGCCATGGCTCAATGCTATGAAATCATAGCAACTGTAGTTTGGATTGGCAGAGAGGGTTAAAGACATTGTAAAACTAATTCCCAAAAGACCACAGCATCAAATTATGACAGTTAAGATAGGATTAAACTGTATTAATCCTATAGTGTAGATCAGGGGTCCTCAAACTAAAGCCTGCAGGTCAAATGTAATACAATGTAGTCCCCCAAAGTCACTGCCCTGCCCCTACCTAAATTTTAGAGTTACCCTAAGTCTGAAAAGACTTGAAAGCACACAACAATCTTCATTAACTTTACTATCTCATCAGCCAAAAACACTTCTCATTGAAATATTGATAAGTTTATGTTGGTTAAAATTGTTCTTCATTTTAAATATTGTATTTTTATTTTTATTTAATTTTTTGCATGAAGATATCTGCAGTGTACATAGGAATCTGTTCATCACTTTTTCAAACTACAGTCCGCCTCCCCCGCAATAGTCTGTGAACCAGCCCTTGGCTTTAAAAGTTTGAAGACCTCTGGTATAAGTGCACCTTCTAAAACCCCACTGAGATTTAAAACACAGAATTTCCCCAAATGCTGAAATCCCAAACTTTGATCCTTCAAAGGTGCATCTATGGTGAGTAATTAATGAACTTTGACCCACTTAAACAGCAATGGTTCAATGATATGAAATCCTGGGAGTTGTAGTTTGGTGAGGCACGAGCACCCTTTTGCAGAGAAGGCTAAAGACCTTGCAAAACTACAACTCCCAAGATTGTACAGCATTGGGCCACAGTGGCTGGAGCAGTGCATAACTAACTGCATTAATTCTACAGTGAAAACACACCTGGTGTTTTGATCCAGGATTTCATGCTGGTTGAGGCTTCTGGGAAATGAAGTCCAAAATACCAGGATCAAAGTTTGGAAACCACTGCCCCACTCCAACCCTTTTAAAATCACATGGGGCCCTTCCACATCGCAATAAAAGCCAGAATATCAACTCAGGTAATCTACAAGGGGCCCTTCAATATAGCAATATAACACAGAATATCAAGGAATAAATCACACAATATCTACTTTGAATAATCTGGATTTTATATGGCAGTGCAGAAGCGGCCTTAGTTCAGGGGGGAAGATCATGTGATTGATACCAATAGAAGTACTTTCAGCTGTACATGAAATCCTCTGAGTCTATATTGCAATATAATATGGTTCAAAGCAGATAAACTGAATTCTATATGGCTGTATAGAAATGTGGATTTATACAACTGTGCTGGGCACAGTCCATAAGAAGGGGCCTAGATATTATGGACTGTGCTGAGCGCATCACAGTTGTATAAATCCATATTTCTACACAGCCGTATAAAATTCAGTTTATCTGCTTTGAACTGGATTATATTGCAGTATAGGCTCAGAGGATTTCATGTACAGGTGAAAGTACTTCTATTGGTATCAATCAAATGATCTTCCCCCCTGAACTAAGGCCCCTTCTGCATTGACATATAAAATCCAGATTATCTGCTTTAAACTGCATTATATGGCAGTGTAGACTCATATAATCCAGTTCAAAGAAGATAACGTGGATTATCTGCTTTGATAACCTGGATTATATACAGTGTAGAAGGAGCCTAAGGTGTTTGTGGGGGGGGGGGGACTGCGCTCACTGATGCCAATGGACTTTCTCCCATAAATAGAAATAGCCAATTTCCAACTGGAGAAGATAAGTGTTAATCTCTTCCTTACATGCTATAATATCCCTCCCCTTTCCACTGCATAATGATTAAACTAGGGAAGGCGCATCTATGGAAGCTAGGGTTGCCTGAGTGAAAAGTAGAAGGGGCTCATATATCTTTAAATTTTGTGCAGTAGAGGAATCTAACGCCCAGAGTAAAGCGCTGGATGCACAAGCACGTGGGCGGCAGGGATCTAAATCCGACGGAAACCAGTAGGGAAGACAACATGAATCCCAGAGCGGCTCCCCCTACTTCCAACGGAAACGAAAGAGGGAGGGAAAAGGAAAGGGAAGTCTAGGCAGATGCCGAAGCCGCGTGGTGGTCGCGCGCCATCGCCATCCCTTGACAATAAGAGCTCCGGGGAGGGAAGCGGTCCCTTCTTCTCATCTGTTTTAGAGCTTCCTCGGTTCACTCAGCAAAAGAGGCAAGGCATTACAACTTCAAGGTGGAAAATGGGGGCCCTTCTACACAGCCGTATAACCCAGAGTATCAAGGCAGAAAATCCCACAATATCGGCTTTGAACTGGGTTATCTGAGTTTACACTGCCATATATTCCAGTTCAAAGAAGAAAATGTGGGATCTCCTGCCTTGATATTCTGGGTTATATGGTTGTGTGGAAGGGCCAAGAGTATCCCTTATCCCAGGCATGGGCAAACTTCGACCCTCTCGGTGTTTTGAACTTCAACTCTCACAATTCCTACCAGCTGTAAGGAATTGTGGGAGTTGCAGTCCAAAACACTGGGAGGGCCGATGTCTGCCCATGTCTGCCTTATCCCAAATGCTGGGGACAAGAAGAGTTTTGGATTTGGGAATATCTGATGATACATACACATAATGAACCGTGTTTGAGCTGGGACCCATAGTCCAGAACAAGAAATTAATGGACGCTTAAGGTCCATTTTACACACAAACCTTAAATAATATGCTGCATGAACACAACTGGCTGCAGTGAACCATCAAGATGCACAGGTATCACTCTTTCATTCAAACACATGGACAATTTTGGAGCCAGCTAATTACCTCCCAACAAAGGATTCCCCCAGGCAGGAAGCAGCTAGGCTTTGAAGCTGCAAGGCCATTCAGTGGTAATCAAGGTGGTCCAATTGCAACATTCACACCTGCCTCCAGCAAACAAGTTCTTTCTCCCACCTTGGGCCATTCCACAGGTATATAAATCCCACTTGCCTAGTTTCCAACAGACCTCACAACCTCTGAGGATGCCCACCATAGATGTGGGCGAAACGTCAGGAGACGATGCTTCTGGAAAATGGCCATACAGCCAGGAAAACTCACAGGGCCCTTCCACACAGCCATATAACCCAGAATATCAAGGCAGAATAACCCACAAGATCTGCTTTGAACTGGGTTATCTGAGTCCACACTCAGATAATGTGGGATTTCCTGCCATGATATTCTGGGATATAGATCTGTGTGGAAGAAAATCCCATAATATCTGCTTTGAACTGGGTTATCTGAGTCCACACTCAGATAATGTGGGATTTTCTACCTTGTTATTCTGGAATACAGGTCTGTGTGGAAGAAAATCCCATAATATCTGCTTTGAACTGGGTTATCCGAGTCCACACTCAGATAATGTGGGATTTTCTACCTTGTTATTCTGGGATATAGGTCTGTGTGGAAGAAAATTCCATAATATCTGCTTTGAATTGGGTTATCGGAGCCCACACTCAGATAATGTGGGATTTTCTGCCTTGATATTCTGGGATATAGGTCTGTGTGGAAGAAAACCCCATAATATCTGCTTTGAACTGGGTTATCTGAGTCCACACTCAGATAATGTGGGATTTTATGCCTTGATATCCTGGGATATAGGTCTGTGTGGAAGAAAATCCCATAATATCTGCTTTGAACTGGGTTTATCTGAGTCCACACTCAGATAAAGTGGGATTTTCTGCCTTGATATTCTGGGATATAAGGCTGTGTGGAAGGGCCCCCAGTTCAAACAAGAAAATGTGGCATCTGATTCAGCTGTGTGGACGAAGCCACAGCAACCCTGAATTGGGTTATCCGAGCCCACACTCAGATAATGTGGGATTTTCTGCCTTAATATTCTGGGATATAGGGCTGTGTGCAAGGGCCCCCAGTTCAAAGCAGAAAATGTGGCATCTGATTCAGCTGTGTGGACTGTGTGTAGGTAATTTCCAAACCGGCTTGTAGACCTGGATGGTGATTCCACAAAGCAAGGATGCGCAGGGAGGGCTTTTCTTTCGCGCGCTTTTGTGGGAGTCGAGCTGTAGTTTGGAGGCTTAAGAGACAGTTTAAAAGGCTTGGGACTAGAAGGATATTTGCATATATACATTACGAGATATCTTGGGAGATGGGGCTTGAGAATGAATATGAAATGCATTGATGCAAAAAAAGGAATTTCATTCACAATATTGTAAAGCAGGCCTGGGCCAACTTGGGCCTGCTTCCAGGTGTTTTGGACTCCAACTCCCACCATTCCTAACAGCCTCAGGCCCTTTCCTGGCCCAGGCCTGTAGTAAACTATCAGAAACATCAGGGTGAGAATGAATGCAGTTTGGCGCCACTTTGGAAGGCTCAATGGGAGTTGTATCACCACAAGGCCTCCCATGCTCAAGAGGAACTACAAATCCCATAACGCGTGGGTGATGCCAAACATGCGAAAGAGAGGCAGGCCCTGCGGCCTAACAGCACTCCTCAGAAGGAAAGCCATTCCACCCCCGCCTCGCCGTTCTTCTTCCGGGTCGAGGAAAGGCCTGGCTTCTCCCTCACTGAGAGAAAGGAAGGCCGCACTTTTCCCCTCAGAAGAAGAAGGTGAGGATGATGGAGGCCAATCCCTGCCTCCTTCCCTCCCGCTGATTTAACTCACCTTTGGCTTCTCCTCGGACATGGCGACGCTTCGCTGAGGGAAAGAAGCACCTCCGAAGCCCGTCTCCCTCTCTCTCTCTCTCTCTCAATCTCCCCCTCTCTCGCGTCTCTCTCTCTCTTCAATCCCGCCCGCAGCAACTGCCCGCCAGCACGCGCTTGGCGCCCCACAATCCCCGCTTCCTGATTGGCTCCCGGCGGGGCCACGTGGGGGGCCGCGCTCGCCCCCGAGGCGCGCTCCCGAGCGGGGTTCTTTTCCTCGGGAGCGCGCCCGGCTGTGTGCGTCATCGCCGGCTGAATGCGGCGGAAGGGAGGGAGGGAAGGATGGGTGGGAAGGCATGCTTTCCAGCGCGGGAGGAAGGAGGGGGAGGAGCCTCTCTTGTGTGGGTGTGGGTGTGTGCTTAAATCAATAAATATATTACAAAACATCACATCTTTTGTGACTTCTTCCTTCAGCAAGAAAATAAATGTCCATCTGTTACCATTCAGAAGGCCAATGCAGCCAATATAACAATATAACAAACAATAAACAATAATAAACAATGCAGCCAATATAACAATATACCAAGGCAGAGACATCTCCAGCTCATCCCCTGTTTGGGTATCAGCCAGCACGTCAACGACTTAAATCAAGACATAGTTTTCTTAGATCTACAGAGACACTCGCTGGAACACCCCAGCAAGCGAGAGTCCAAAAGTGGCAGGCCCAAACCCAGCACCTCAATCCATGGGTGATACCAGATGAGAGACTCCCCCCTAGGCACACAGAAGACTGGGCAACTTGGAAGGCGCTGAACAGACTGCGCTTTGGCACCACGAGATGCAGAGCCAATCTTAAGAAATGGGGCTACAAAGTGGAATCCACGACATGCAAGTGCGGAGAAGAACAAACCACTGACCACCTGCTGCAATGCACCCTGAGCCCTGCCACATGCACGATGGAGGACCTTCTTGCGACAACACCAGAGGCATTCCAAATGGCCAGATACTGGTCAAAGGACATTTAACCAACTACCAAATTTGCAAAATCTGTGTGGTTTTTTTTCTTTTTCTTTTTAATCTGTGTGTTTGTTTTGCTCTGTTACAATTGTAATACAATGGTATGGTTGCTGGTGACACGATAAATAAATAACAATATAACAAACATTAACAAATAAACAAAAATATAACAATAAACAATGCTGCCAATAGAACAATATAACAATAAACAACAAACAATGCAGCCAATATAACAAACAATATAACAATAAACAATAATAAACAATGCAGCCAATATAACAATATAACAAACAACAATATAATAAACAATATAACAATAAACAATGTAGCCAATATAACAATATAACAAACAATGTAACAATAATAAACATTGCAGCCAATATAACAACAATAAACAATATAACAATAAACAATAATAAACAATGCAGCTGATATAACAAACAATAAACAATAATAAACAATGCTGCCAATATAACAATATAACAAACAATGTAACAATAAACAATAATAGACATTGCAGTCAATATAACAATATAACAAACAATAAACAATATAACAAACAATATAACAATAAACAATAATAGACAATACAGCCGATATAACAAACAATATAACAATAAACAATAATAAACAATCCTGCCAATATAACAATATTACAAACAATGTAACAATAAACAATAATAAACATTGTAGCCAATATAACAATATAACAACAACAAACAATAAACAATATAACAACAAACAATAATAAACAATGCAGCCAATATAACAAACAATAAATAATATAACAATAAACAATAATAAACAATGCAGTCAATATAACAATATTACAAACAATATAACAATATAACAAACAATATAACAATAAACAATAATAAACAATGCAGCCGATAAAACAAACAATATAACAATAACAATGAAGCCAAAATAACAATATTGCAAACAATATAACAATAAACAATATAGCGAACAATATAACAATAAACAGTAATAAACAATGTAGCCAATACAACAATATAACAAACAATATAACAATAAACAAACAATATAAAAACAACCCTGCTTGTATTTCCTACTTTCCTATACACCTGATATGTTCCTCCTCTTTTAAGTGTATTTCAGAAAAACCTCAATAAATATGAATAATAAAAAAGCAGGCCTATGCAGTGCTAAATGTAAGTCATCCATATTAGGCCTGGGCAAATGTTGGCCCTCCAGGTGTTTTGGACTCTAACTCCCACAATTCTAACAGTGCAAAAGCTGAGAGCCAAAGAAGGACCAGAGAGCTCAAGAACATCTGGTGAACAAAGAAGGCTGAAGAAATCCAACACTTTGCAGATACCCATGATGCTCAGGGATTTTTAAAGCCACAAAAGTCATCGAGGGACCAAGAATTCTTGGCATATACCCTCTATGCCCATGAGATGGAGCCAAGCTTTTGAAGGACAAAAAAAAAAAAATCAATGGCACTACATTGGAAAGAGAACTACCAAAGCCTTCTGAATCACAGCTCCAATGTGGCCAAAGAGATTTTCTTACAAATCATGCAACAACAAACCAGGGATGAGCTTGCAGCACTGCCTAGTTTGGGAGAAGTCAGTAATGCCATCAGCCAACAAAAGAATAACAAAGCCAGCGGACCTGATGGGATCCCTGCTGAAATATTTAAAGAGGGTGGACCTGAGCTAATAATAATAATATTAATAATATTTTGCCATACCAAACAATCAAACTTGTACCACAAATACCATCTGCCTGCAACAAAGAACTGGTGGCATCACAAGCCTGAAAAAGTTACAGAAAATGAATACGTCAAACTACTCTGGGACTTCAGAATTCAGACCGACAGAGTTTTGGAGCACAATACGCCTGACCTCACGATCATGTTAAAAAACAAAGTATGGATTGTTGATGTGGCAATCCCAGGCGACAGCAGGAAAAGCTGACACAATATGAGGATTTAAAGATCAAACTGCAAAGATTCTGGCACAAGCCAGTAAAGGTAGTCCCAGTGGTGATCGGCACACTGGGTGCAGTGCCTAAAGACCTTGGCCTGCACTTAAACACAATAGGCGCTGACAAAATTACCATCTGCCAGCTGCAAAATTACCATCTGCCCGCCTTACTGGGATCTGCACGCATTATTCGCCGATACATCACACAGTCCTAGACACTTGGAAATGTCCGATGTGTGATCCAATACAACAGCCAGCAGAGTGATCTTGTTTATTGTGGACTCATCTTGTTGTGTTTCAAATAATAATAATAATAACTACTTTATTTTTATACTGCGCCTCCATCTCCCTGAAGGAACTCTGGGTGGCTTACATGAGGACAAGCCCGAACTTAATATGGCTAAAATATAACACAACAACATTCATAAAAACAATTTAAAACAATATAAAAACAACCACGCATAATACAATATAATACAATATAAGACAATAATCAAGCAAACCACCAATGGTCTGAGTAGTGCAAAGTTCTGAGGTTGGGGAGGTGGAATGGTGCAAATCATTTACAAGGATGGGATGATGATGCTTTGGAAGAAACTGCTTTAGAAGGCTTCAGCACCCCCATTGATTTGGAAGATGCTATGGATGAATATAATGGGTAATGGGTAAAGTCCTGAAACCAGATGACAACGTTAGGAAATGGGGAGCAATGTAAAGAGAGCACGATATCTCTAGTTGGGGAACAGTGGCAATGTGCAAGAATTGGTTTTGGATCATAGCTGGGGATAAAAGTATCAGGGGAACTGTCTAGTCAAAAGCACAATGGAACATCCACATTTTTAGTTCTTTGCAGAAAGTGGACAGATTGGGTGCTAGTCTAATCTCCCTGGGGAGAGAGTTCCAGAACCAGGGGGCCACCACAGAAAAGGCCCTCTCTCTTGTCCCCACCAACTGCACTTGTGACAGGGTTAGGAGTAGAGGAGAGCTTCCCCAAAAGTTCTTAGAGATTGTGCAGGTTCGTAGGGGACAATGCGGTCACGAAGATAGGCAGGTCCCAAACTGTTTACGGCTTTATAGGTGAGCTGACACAACAACTACACCAGCTCATTGAAAAAGTGTGAGAGTCTGAGAAAATCCCAGCAGACATCAAGGATGCCACCATCATCCCCCTTTTCAAAAAAGGGGAAAGAACAGACTACGGAAACTATCAAGGTATCTCCCTTCTAACCTCTGCTGAGAAAATCCTCGCAAGAATCCTTGCAAACCACCTTCTGCCCCTCTCAGAAGACACCCTCCCAGAATCCCAGAATGGCTTCCACCCCGGCAGAGGAACAGTGGACATGATCTTCACTGCACGACAGCTCCAAGAAAAATACAGGGAACAAACCATCCTCTCTACATGGCATTCATTGACCTCGCAATGGCATTCAACACAGTGAATAGCAGTGCTCTCTGGACCATCCTCCAAAAAATCAGGTGCCCTGACAAATTTGTGAACATCCTGCAGCTCTTCCACAATGATATGATGGCAACACTCTTGGCTGGCAATGGCTCCCAAAGTGACCCATTTAAGGTGGAATCAGGTGTCAAACAGGGATGTGTTATTGCCCCAACCTTATTTTCCATCTTCATCGCTATAATACTGCACCTTGTAAGGAGAACAAAATCATCCTCCTGGGGGATTTTAACACAAGAATTGGTTGAGGCTTTGACTTGTGGCCAGGGACCATAGGAAAAGATGGGGTTGGAAACAGCAACTCGAATGGCATACTGCTTCTCACCAAATTTGCGGAACACAACCTTGTCATCACCAACATGCTCTTCTGCCAGAAAAACAAGCTCAAGACATCATGGAAGCACCCCCGATCAAATCATTGACACCTTTTAGACTATGTAATTACATGTGCCAGGGACCACCGCGATGTGCTTCTCACAAGAGCTATGACAGGTGCTGATGACTGCTGGACAGACCACAAGTTAATCCGATCCACAATGGGGGTTCTGTGTGCCAACAGTGGTTCAGTTCCATTGTTGGTGGAGTTCAGAATGCTCTTTGATTGTTGGTGAATTATAAATCCCAGTAGCTCCAACTCCCAAATGTCAAGGTCTATTTCCCTCAAAATCCACCAGTTTTCACATTTGGGCATATTGAGTATTCATGCCAAGTTTGGTCCAGATACATCATTGCTTGAGTCCACAGTACTCCCTGGATGTAGGTGAACTACAACTTCAAAAGTCAAGGTCAATGCCCACCAAACC